ACTTTCTATAATGTTAAATATTTCTATCTCCTACTTTATTTATGTGTGAGTACGTGGGTTGAATTGTTAATGGTGGCTGTGTTAGGATCCGGTTGGACCTGCATTGGATCAGAACGAGCAAGTACAGTTGCAGTATATACCGCGTGCGCAAGAGGGGTGTGTAAATCAGAGCGCCGCTCGATGGCCGGAGGCCTGAGCCTCGGGAAGCTTCCTGGAGCTTGGATCCCGTTGAGAGTTTAGGTAGGAGGAGAAGGTACTTTGGGCAGAGAAGACGGCCACTACAGAGTCTCGGCTGTGGGACAGGCAGGACAGAGGAGGGGTGGAGAGCAGGTTGGCCACGTGGGCTGTGGTCGGCGCCCAGGGATGCCCTGAGAGCTGCAGAAGGCTCTCCAGGGGCTCACCTGCCTCCCACTTCCAGCCCAGGTCGGTGGAGAAGTCAGAAGCTGGAGCTCTTAGGAGAGAGTGTTGAACGTGAAGTGCGTCGCTGGCATATCCCCATCCCTCCCTCTGGCAAGCACGTTCCTCGCGAAGGGCGCACAGACCAGGAGACGCCTCATCCAGGCTTGGCAGCCAGGGCTCTGCGGGCTGGGCCAGCTGTCTCTCAGATGCTGCTTATGTCTGAGGCCCGGGAGCCGGTGGCCTTATAAAACGGGATTGTTTTTAAACTTTGGTTTTTCGCCATGCAACCCTCTCTTCCCTTGACACCTACATGGAGAAGAGTTGGGAAAACACTGATCCAGTCCCACCCTCCTCCTCACTAGCAGGGAAAATCGAGGCCTTGCCTTTCCCTTTCTGGGAGGAATGCCTCCTTTCCCTGGATGTCCCCTTGGTAGGAGGTTCGTGGAGGGGCAGGGTGTCTGCGTCTTCTCTCGGAGGATGGAGAGAGACCTGCTTTTCCTGAGTTTGGGTTCCTAGCTGCCACAAAGGCCCTCCCCCTAGTGTCACCAACGTTTCTCCCTCCCGCTCTGCTTCTGCCACCGTCCAGGGCTCTGTTCTGAGGGTTCTCCAGTCGGGACAGGAAAACCCTGTGGAGTGGGGCCTGGGTTTGGCCCCCAGTCAATCAGCCAACCAAACATTTGCTAACTGCGTGTTAGTTGCCAGTGCTGAGGGGACCCAGAGGTGCCAAGTGGGGTCCAGGCTTTCGAGGGACTTGCTGTCCAGTCGGGGAATGACACTTGAACAGACTAAGTAAGAGGTGTCACTAGGGATGGTCACAGGTCCAGCTGGGGAAAGGGCATGGATACCCAAGGCCTGGAATGTGAGAAGGCTTTTTGGAAAAAGGTGGGACTTAGGCTTTTCTTGAAAGATGCAATGCCCCATTTTAAAACAAGGAGGATAGTAGACTCTGAGGAACATTTGAAGTGTGCTAATTTCAGGAATTTCCAGGCCGCATTCCTAAAATCCATGGGGTGGGAAATAATAATTTCTATTGCCCTGGCCTAGTAGCTCAATTGGTTAGAGCGTTGTCCTCAAGGTTGCTGGTTCGATCTCCACAATTGACGTTTCTCTTCTTCCCTGTATCTTTTTTTCTTCCTCTCCCTCTTTCCCTTCTTCCCTCCCTCTCTCTCTAAAATCAAGAAATAAGATTTTAAAAAATAGGTACTATTATCATCCCCATTACAGATGAGGAAACTGAGGCACCAAGAGACTGTATGACTTTCAGCTAATTAATGGCAGAGTCAGGAGTCAAACCCAGGCAGTCAGGCCCAAGTCTGTTGGTCATGGCAGGAGAGGTGTGTGATGGCTGCTTTTGCCCCACCTCCTTACGTTCCCCTCGTCCAATTGGTGTCTGGGGCTGTCATTTCAGGCAAAGGAGAGGGCCATAAGGGCAAAGCTACACTGGACCCAAGGGCTACCCTGAGCTGGACCCTGTCCCCTTTGTTCTCTGATCCCCACAGAGGTCACAAGCTCAACATAATTGTTTCCATAAAAAATTCAGAGCCTACGCCCTGGCCGGGTAGCTCAGTGGGTTAGAGCGTTGCCCCAACATGCCAAGGTTGTGGGTTCGATTCCCTGATCAGGGTGCATACAAGAATCAATCATTGGATGATGCATAAATAAGTGGAACAACAAATCAATGTTTCTTTCTCTCAAAATCAGTAAATAATTTTTTTTCAAATCCAGAGCTTACAAAGCATAGCATTTCTGTCTTCCTCCCTTCCCCCTACCCCAGATGCTTTCAGATTTTCCCATTTTTACTGTATAAAGGAAGAGTTTGTGGAGGAGGCTGGAGAGGAGGTGGGGATGGCAGGTATGAGGACAAGAGGACAACTTCCCTGCGGTTGGGGTACCCAGCTAGACATGGCCTCACCCCTCTGGCGCTACTGTAATTTCTGGTTGGTCAGCCTCTCTCCTCTCCCAACAGGGGGGAGCTGGACAGTACCTGTGGGTGGACAGCCCTGCAAATGTCTGTGTAGGCTGAAAATGGGCTCCGTGTTCACTTCGGCAGCACATATACTAAAATCGGAATGATACAGAGAGGATTAGCCTGACCCCTGCGCAAGGATGACACCTAAATTCGTGAAGCGTTCCATATTAAAAAAAATAAAAATTCCTGGCCAGTGTTGCTCAGTGTTTAAGCATCAACCCATGAACCAGGAGGTCATAGTTCAATTCCCAGTCAGGGCACATGCCCAGGTTGTGGGCTCGATCCCCATTAGGGAGCATGCAGGAGGTAGCCAATCAATGATTCTCTCTTATCATTGATGTTTCTATCTCTCTCTCCCTTTTTCTTCCTTTCTGAAATCAATAAAAAACATGTTTGTTTTAAAAAAAGAAAACGGGCTTCCTGGCTGCTGTGGCTCAGTGGTTGAGCGTCAACTTATAAACCAGGAGGTCACAGTTCGATTCCCAGTCAGGGCACATGCCCAGGTTACAGGCTGGATCCCCAGTATGGGGCGTGCAGGAGGCAGCCTATCAGTGATTCTCTCTGATCATGGATGTTTCTGTCTCTCTCTCCCTCTCCCTTTCTCTCTGAAATCAATAAAAATATATTTGAAAAAGAAAATGGGCTTTATGAGGCTCTGACACCCTTGTCTGGGAGGAGGTAAGGAGACGGTTTTTAAAAGTAGCTGTCTTTACAAAATCCAGAAAAAAGTCACCTATCACTCTGCTCCCACAGGAGATGGGCATGGCCACAGTGGTGGGCTTACTCCTGTCCTTTCCCCCCTAACCTGGGCTGAGTTCCTCGTGTGGCATTGTGCGGGAGCTCATGTATGTACAGTTTTGTAAAACCCTTATTTTGCTTAGCATAGCAAGCAGTTTTCTGTAATCACATAGTTTTAGGTTTTTTTGTTTTATCTTACGTTTTTATCGCTGTGATCACATGAACATGTACATTGTTCAGAAAATCAGATAGTACCTGGGCTGCAATGCCAGGGCAGCCCTCCCAGGCCCCTCCTCTCCTTCAGCGCCTAACTTTCCGTGGAGGGTGACTTCTGTGTTTCCAAATAAGATTCTGTTACTGCTTTTTTTTTTTAATTTTTGAGATTTTGATATTATCTATTGACTGTGCTGTGGAAAATTAAACCTCAGTGTCTTATACCTCTGCACAGACATCTCCCCTCTTCTCAAACTACGCATCACCAATTTTGGGTAAATAACTGTGACTGAGTAAATATTTTTTACAGCTGAACCATGTATGATTACATTTAGTACATAGTTTTGTAAACATGATTTTAACTCCATGACATCCCACTTATTTATTTAGTTGCTATTATAAATAAGGCTGTAAAAAGTATAAAAAGGCCAAAGCCTCTTTTTTAAATTGAATTTTTTTTGTGTTTTTAGAGAGAGAAGGAAGGGCGAGGGAGAGAGAGAGAAGCATCAGTGTGAGAGAGATAAACGTCAATTGGCTGCCTTCTGCACGCCTTCCACCGGGGATCAAGCTCACAACCTGGGCATATGTCCTGACTGGGAATCGAACAGCAACCTTTTGGTACATGGGATGTGCTCAACCAACTGAGCTGCACCCGCCAGGGCCAAAGGCTTTTTTTATAGTTAGGATTTTTCTTAAGCTATATTTCTAGTACTTAAACTGAGACATGGGAATGAATTTCTTTTAACTTGTAATGGAAGAATGTAACACATTCAGTACAGTCATACAGTACAGTAATCTTGGGTGTCTGCTCATTTAATTTTTACAGGTATATATGCTATGAACTATCTCCCAGACACAGTCAAGATATAAATGTTTCACCCTAGCCAGTTTGGCTCAGTGGATAGAGCGTCGACCTGTGCACTGAAGGGTCCCAAGTTCGATTCCAGTGAGGAGTGCATGCCTGGGTTGCGGGCTCAGTCACCAGTGGGGGGCATGCAGGTGGCAGCCAATCAATGATTCTCATCATTGATGCTTTTATCTCTCTCCCTCTCTCTCTCTCTCTTTCTCACATATCTATAATAATAAAAGCATAATATGCTAATTAGACCAGATAGCTGGACGACCTTCCTGACGAAGCCGGGGCTGCGAGGGTCGAGCCCCTTGCACGAATTTTGTGCATTGGGCCTCTAGCGTGTGTGTGTGTGTGTGTGTGTATGTGTGTGTGTGTGTATTTTTTTTAAAGATAAAAAATGTTTCCATTACTCAGAAGGTTCCTCCTGCCCTCTCTCAGTCAGTACTCACACACCACCCCTCACCACCTCCAGCGAGGCCCTGGAAAGATAGCTTCTTTTCTGACTTCTGTTGCCGTCAATCCATGACTTGGCTTAGCCTGTTCACCCTCACCCCACCCGTGAACTGGAGTGAGCATGTTGAAGGCTCTGTGCATCCCTTTGGGAGACTTCCCTTTGTGATCACGCCCAGGGGTAACCGTGGGCGTCTCTGACCCTGGCCTTAGCTCTTTCAGGGCAGGGCACACAAACGGGCTGGGATGGAGGGTGGCCGGGGCCTGGGGGCAGAGTTACCTGCCACATTAGTACGCAGACTGCGCACTCAGATTCCCCTTGGGAAGACGTCTGGGGAGCCTGGGGAAGGGACTTCAACAATTCACTTGTGTGACCAGGCCCAGCCGCAGCCGCAGCCGCCACCCCAGCCGCAGCCCCAGTCTCAGCCACCGGCATCCAACAAGCGTCCCAGCAACAGCACGCCACCCCCCACGCAGCTCAGCAAAATCAAGTACTCAGGGGGCCCCCAGATTGTCAAGAAGGAGCGACGGCAAAGCTCCTCCCGCTTCAATCTCAGCAAGAACCGGGAGCTGCAGAAGCTTCCTGCCCTGAAAGGTACGTGGAGAAGGTCACGGGGGCGGGTGCACCAGGCTTGGGGGCACTGGGTGGTTTTGGTTACTTGGGGGGGAGGGGAGTTCCATTGGGGAGCGGGTGCCAGGGGAGCGGGACAGGGTCGGGGAAGCCCTGTGAGGCCAGTAGGGCACAGCAGGGAAGGGCGGGGAGGGAACCTGACTGCTGGCCCCCCCTAGATTCGCCAACCCAGGAGCGGGAGGAGCTGTTTATCCAGAAGCTACGCCAGTGCTGCGTCCTCTTCGACTTTGTGTCAGACCCGCTCAGCGACCTCAAGTTCAAGGAGGTGAAGCGGGCAGGACTCAACGAGATGGTGGAGTACATCACCCATAGCCGCGACGTCGTCACCGAGGCCATTTACCCAGAGGCTGTCACCATGGTGGGCGCAGGAACGGGAACGCGGGCGGGGTGGGCGCCCTGGAGAAGCCCAGACAGAGCTCTCACCGGGGCTCTCCCCTCAGTTTTCAGTGAACCTCTTCCGGACACTGCCACCCTCATCCAATCCCACCGGGGCCGAGTTTGACCCAGAGGAAGACGAGCCCACCCTGGAAGCCGCCTGGCCACATCTCCAGGTACCAGGGCCGGGGGCACGCAGACCTGTGTCAGGTTCTCCCAGTCCCTGGGGAACACCCCCTGAAGGGATGCTCCTTTCCCTCCGCAGCTGGTGTACGAGTTTTTCCTACGTTTCCTTGAGTCTCCTGACTTCCAGCCAAACATAGCCAAGAAGTACATTGACCAGAAGTTTGTCCTCGCTGTGAGTCCCTGAGTGCCTGTCCTTCCCCTCCTTCCAGGGCATGGACTCCGGCCCCACATCCCTTACTCCGGTCCCAGTTCTTTCTCCCTCTAAGAATATCTTGGGTTTCAGCTGTGTCTGTACAGGACACTATGAGGGTTAAACTGACCTACTCTGCCTGCAAGAAGCTTCCAGCATAATGGAAAGAAACAGAAGCAGCCACAAAGTTACCCACCACGTTCAGTATGCCGCACGCATACTCAGATGTCCCCTTGGGAAGAGCAGAGAAATCCAGTTACTCTTCCCAGGGCCTTGCCCCAGGGCCCTCTCCAGAGAACCTTTGAGCTTCTCCCAGCCAGGACCCTATGTCACCCAGCCCTGCCTTCCTCAGCTCCGGCCTCACTTGCCACCTTTCTTCCTGCCCGCTCCCAGCTCCTCGACCTGTTTGACAGTGAGGATCCTCGAGAGCGGGACTTCCTCAAGACCATCTTGCATCGAATCTATGGCAAGTTTTTGGGGCTCCGGGCTTATATCCGTAGGCAGATCAACCACATCTTCTACAGGTGAGGCCAGGAGCCAGGCTCAGCAGCCAAGCAAGCACCGCTAAGGTGGGGGGAGAAGGGAGGTGGGGGGGACTTCAGAGGGGCCTCAGGTTGTCAGGAGACCCTTTTTCTTCCCTCAGGTTCATCTATGAGACGGAGCATCACAACGGGATTGCCGAGCTCCTGGAGATCCTGGGCAGGTGAGAGGTGGGGTGGTCACACATGCCTGAAAGAAGTTGGGAGGGTTGGGTCACTGAGCTTGGACTAGGCCCTTCGGCCCTAACAAACCTCCCTTAACTCCTAGCATCATCAACGGCTTTGCCTTGCCCCTTAAGGAAGAGCACAAGATGTTCCTTATCCGTGTCCTGCTTCCCCTTCACAAGGTCAAGTCCCTGAGTGTCTACCACCCTCAGGTAAGCCGCCTTCCTCTTGATGATCCCTGAGTGGGCATGGCAGCAGAGAAGACAGGGCGGGGAGATGTTCCAGCCGGGTGGGGAGGCAGAGGGAGTGGGTGGGATAATTCCGTCTACGCCGCCTCTTCCATTGGGGGTCTTGCTCCTGTCTCTGATCTCCGTGAGACCTGGGCCCTGCGCCTCACCTCCTTTCTGCCTCAACCTTTTGCAGCTGGCATACTGTGTGGTGCAGTTCCTGGAGAAGGAGAGCAGCCTCACTGAGCCGGTAATTCCCTCTCTAAGCCCCAGCGCCCGCCTGTCTGTCAGCAGCACGTCTGTCTCTGTGGGGCAGTGCCGTAGCAGGTGCTCAGGAGGGAGGGAGCCCAACAGGTGACATGGCTTCCTCTCTGAAGGAGAAAACCCATGCACACCTAGGAAGCAGATCCAAGTCAAAGAAACATGAGCCGTTAGCTGAGGCCACCCAAGCTACGCCCACTGCGGGGGGCGGGGAGGGGGGGGGCAGGAAGACTTCCTGGAGAACCAGGCAGGTATTGAGTGAGAATTTTATCCTCCTCGTCTCACAGGTGATTGTGGGGCTTCTCAAGTTCTGGCCGAAGACCCACAGCCCCAAGGAGGTGATGTTCCTGAACGAGCTGGAGGAGATTCTGGATGTCATCGAACCTTCAGAGTTCAGCAAAGTCATGGACCCACTCTTCCGCCAGCTTGCCAAGTGTGTCTCCAGCCCCCATTTCCAGGTGAGATCCAGCCCACCTCCCAGGAACTGGGGGGGTCTTGAGCAAAGCAAGCTGTGTCCTCACGGAGTCCCGCCTGTCCCCACCAGGTGGCAGAGCGAGCTCTCTATTACTGGAACAACGAGTACATCATGAGCCTCATCAGTGACAACGCTGCCCGGGTCCTCCCCATCATGTTCCCTGCGCTCTACAGGAACTCCAAGAGCCACTGGAACAAGTAGGGGCTGCGGTGGGCTGTGGTTTTGGAGCCTGTTAGGGTGTGGAAGACCTACAGAGTCTCATCTGGTCACTTTGCAAGTAGGGGTGGTGCCCACTGTAGGTTGAGAGGACCTTGAGGAATGGGGAGAAAAGATACCTACGTGAGAGATCTCTGAGACCAAACAGCAGAGCAGTGGCCTGTAGTACACCTCTTCTTGCAGTCAGACATTTTGCCGCTTTGGTCACTTAATTCCACGCTGTGGGAAGTTGATGTGGCCTTAGGATGTGTTGCATCCCAGTGTTGTAAAGGCTTTCCTGCTAAGCGCAAGCATGCTGTGGGGCAGATGCACGTCATGCTGCTGGGAGGCCATTCGTGTGGGCCAGGCAAGTGGGGAGGAGGAGGGTCTTGGAGCATGGGGTGGCAGGAAGGATGGACAGGCAGACCAGTATTTGTGAAAACCCTGCAAGGCCGATCTCAGGTCACATGATTTGACCGGAGAGATGAGCTTACACTGTAGCGGTTTGTGAAATGGGAGTAGTAAATGAGAAAGCTCTTAGCAGACACCTAGGAGAGAGCAGGTTGGGCCTGGCACTAGGGCAGGCTGTGGCCTCTTACACCTCGTCTTTCTTGCGGTGGCAGGACAATCCATGGACTGATCTACAATGCCCTGAAGCTGTTTATGGAGATGAATCAGAAGCTGTTTGATGACTGCACACAACAATACAAGGCGGAGAAGCAGAAGTGAGCGTCTCCTCTCAGAGCCTCTGATTGTCCACCGCCAGCCCCCTTTGCTTCTCTCTCAAACTCAACCCCCATCCTGTCTGCTCCCTCAGGGGCCGGTTCCGAATGAAGGAAAGAGAAGAGATGTGGCAAAAGATCGAGGAGCTGGCCCGACTTAATCCCCAGGTGAGGTTTTCCTGCCACTGTCTTGAACTGAGGGGCCCGTTAGGCTGGGGGAGGGTCTGTTTGAGGAGGAATAGCGGCAAACAGGTTCAGAGTCTGAAGGGGCTCCCCCACTTGTCCGTGCCTCCGTTCCTCAGTATCCCATGTTCCGAGCTCCACCACCGCTGCCCCCTGTGTACTCGATGGAGACGGAGACCCCCACGGCAGAGGACATCCAGCTTCTGAAGAGGACCGTGGAGACGGAGGCCGTGCAGGTGGCCGGGCACAGGGGGAGGCGGAGCAGCAATAGACAGCTCTGCAGGGGGAGGAGCCCAGGAATGAGGGGGAGCCACAGAATACACTGGGAATTGGTCACCATTCCTCTCCTTCTCCCTGTCCACTCAGATGCTAAAGGATATCAAGAAAGAAAAAGTGCTGCTTCGGAGGAAGTCAGAGCTGCCCCAGGACGTGTACACCATGAAGGCGCTAGAGGCTCACAAGCGGGCGGAAGAGTTCTTAACTGCCAGCCAGGAGGCTCTCTGACGCCCCGAGTTTCCTCCACGGGGCCACAGCCCACTCAGCCCTGGGACGCTGCCCTAGCCCTCCACCCTTTGCTCCCCACTGGCTGACATGGGGCAAGGCAGTGCCTCTTTAGCTATTCTAGGGAGGGTGATGCAGCACTTGAAGCAGGGATGCCCACAGAGTGGTCCCTCTTCTCCCCAAAATGTGTTGGTGCCTCCTGGTGGCCAGTACAGACAGGCTGAGCACTAAGATGCTCAGTGTTCAGACAACTGGGGACGCCTGTACCCTCCTGCTCCTAACCCCACAGCTACCTGAGGCTGCTCTGAGAAATACACACAGGAACACATAGGCTCCTCTCCCTTCCCTTCATCTTCATTTGAACGCCAGGGGTCTCCTCCTCTCCCTCCCCTGCAGAGGCACACGGGGAGCAGCAGGAGGTTATTCTCACCAAAGTTATGCCAAGCCCCACTGGCCCCTGAAGTCAATAGCTGGAGGGGCGCCAACCCCCAGCAGCACAAAGAGGCCCCCAGCCCCAGCAGTGTGCAGGCTGAGGGGGCCGTATTATTTCCTCTTACCCCTTGCCCGACCAAGACCATGTGGGAGGTCAAAAAGAGAACCACATAAGCTATGGACATCAGGTAATGAATAAAGGGCCCAGATGGATCAAGAGAAAGGGATGAACAAACACCCTACCTGTGCCCCCTCCTTGGGGAGCAGCAGCCCTGGGATCACAAACATGGAAGGGACCACCTGGGGCTGACTGCTTTCCTGTGCTGTTGGTTCCCAAAGCCAAGAGGAAGGAGACAGGGAGCAGTGTCTAAGCACGGCTCCCTCCAACATCTATTTATTTTCCTTGTTTGTGCTAATGCTGGGCAGGCCCTCGCTTGTCCCTTTCAGGCACCATGGAGAGGCAAGAGGCTTAGGAGAGCCAGACCCGGGTCCCAGGGGCACAGGCAGTGCAGCTTTGGGCTGTGTACATAGGGTGCTTTATTCTCCAGAGTGATACATGCTATGGTGGGTTGGGCTTGGGCCGATGTCCCCATATGTACAGACTGAATAAAGTGGGTCTCTGAGAAGTTTGATTTGCCTTGATGTGGAAGGGAGATGGGCGTTACGACCAGGGATGTGTTCAGTCCTGTGCTGGTTCCAGTGGAATGCAGGGAGATAAGGCAGCTCTCAAGGTGGTCACTTCCAGGCAGGGGATGCCTGCCGGGCTTGGAGAGCCTTCTGTACCACGTCTTCCCACTGGGCATCTGATATCTCCCGAGCCCAGGCAGGCACCCCTGGTGCAGGCAAGCTTACTCCAGCCATTGTCCTTTTCACCAGCTCTACATGATCTGAAATCACAGGCAGAGACCAATTAGAGGATAGAAAAGATGGGACCAGCTTCCCTGCCCATTCCTTGAATTAACCCAGAACCATTGGGTTAGTAAAGTCACCAAATCTGTCTGTTATTTCTAGGCAAGCCTGCCCATTCCCCAAGTCTAGCAGAATAGCATTTCACCTGGATTCTTTAAAAAAAATTTTTTTTTATTGATTTCAGAGAGGAAGGGAGAGATGGAAACATCAATGATGAGAGAGAATCATTGATCGGCTGCCTCCTGCATGCCCCCTACTGGGGATGGAGCCCACAACCTGAGCATATGCCCTTGACCAGAATCGAACCCGGGACCCTTCAGTCTGCAGGCTGATGCTCTATCCACTGAGCCAAACCAGCTAGAGCTCACCTGGATTCTGACGTCGGCAAAATTTAGATTACAAACTGTCATTTTAGGAACAGGGTATTGCTCTGTGACCTCTCTATTGGCTCTGGCCAGTTCCTTTCCTCCTAATGAAAAGAATGATCTCTTTTACCTGGGTCCATGGGAATAGAGCTGCGGCTGCTCAAGGCTGTAGCTCCCTCCTCATCTTCATCCTCGCTCTCTAATGGTGGGTCTGGCAAATGAAGCCCCAGGGCCTGAACAGCCAGAGAAGACAGTTCAGGGCCAGCCCTTCAGGGATCCCACCTTCACCTCGGGAACAAGGCCTCCTCCAGCATACCTGGATCCGATCCTGGATGTCCGCCACTACGTCCTCTCCATCCCCCACCGGCGCCAGCTCCACCTCCTCGGGCTCAGGGTCTTGGTTCAGGGGCTGGTAGGAGTAGCCGGCTGGGCCTGCCCCGGGTTCCTCCTGCTCTTCCTCAGGCTCCTCACTGCTCCAATCCCCAGTGCCTTCCGTGGGGCCCTGGTGCGGCCCTAGTTCCTCGGTCTGATTGGGGAAGATACGCTCTGGGCCCATGTTGTCTGCCCCGAGAACTACTGCTGCCATCCGGGCACGGGCTGCAAGAACAGGGGGGCACGAGAGGGATCTGATTAAATGAGCTGTGCACTCCGCCTCCCATCCAGCTCCTTGTGGTCTCCTGTGTCCACAAAACATCGAAACGCCCAACCTTCTGCGCCCCAACCCACCTTGGCATCTCCTGGGCCCTTCGCCTTTTAAGTCGGGCTCTTATCTCGAGCCGAGGCCCACCCGCCTTGCTCGGCCATTTCTTAAATATTTAACAGCAGAACCAGAGGCTTAGCCATCTCTCAAAACACACCCCTTCCAGAACCCCGCCTTCCCGCCCCCTCCTGACTTGCGAACTTCGGATGGGCAAACAAGCTCCTAAAGACAAGGCGTACCCGTTCCCTTCTCCCCTCTCAATGGGGTTCCCCTCTGTACCACCTGACAAACGCCCTTCAGGCCCCAGGGGCTCCCCTCAAATGGTCCCAGCTGCGGCGTTCCCACCCCCTCCCCACCCCGACCCCACCGATGGTCGGCGCCGGCGTCTCCGCGCGCCTCACCCGCTCAGAGCCCGCGGCCGAACCCGCACCTCCACTTCCGCCGGGGCAGGACGTGCTGGGCGCCTAGTCCTCCAGCCCCGCCCATCGCTCATGATGGACGCGAAAGGGGACAACGACTCCGCCCCTTGCCCCGCCTCCATCGTCCGGGCCCAAACAAAGAACTACATTACCCAGGGACCCCCACGGTTTTTTTTTTTGAAGCAGCCGCACATGCGTAGAAGCTCGGCTCCGCACCTCGGGTCCCTGCGGAAACCGACGGACTACAAGTCCCGGTAGGCTTCCGGAACTCGGCCCCGTCTGCACGTGCGCACACAGCTGCCCGCGGGAAGAAGCGAGCCTGGCTGTGTTTATCTCGTTGGGGACCGAGTCGTCGGTTGGCGCTCAACGGGTTCCAGGCTGCCCGCGGCCCCGCCCCGGCCCGGCCTGACAAGGTAGCCCGGGATGCGTTGATGTTACAAGGAAGGTGGAGGTGCTGGGGGCGTCCTTGTCTGGAGCCGGAGCCGTGAGGGAGAGGCCCAAGGGGGCTGAGGTGGGGGCGGGGTGGGGGTGGGGAGGGAACTGAGGGGGATGATGGGAAAGGAGCGTGTTCGTGGGGGAGGGTCGCGGGAGAATGGGGGGGAACAGGTGAGAGGCTTGGTGGCTGGAGGAGGCACTGAGGGACCTGGGAGGAAGGCCGGGTTGTGAAGAGAACGGGGGAGCTAAGGATAATGGGGGGAGGGGCGGGGGGATGACTGGAAGGATCCAGAGAGAGCGCCACCATATGCAGGGAGGAAGACCTCTGGCCGAGAGGGGACAATGATTCCTAGCGTTTTCCCCTCAGTGGAAGGGGGAAAATGGAGAACTTTTGGGTGGCGCTTGGAGTGGTGGGAAAAGGAAAAAGGAGAAAACTGCAAAGCTCTCAGATTAAAAAAAGGGGGGGGGGGAGTGATAATTGCAAGAGACCAGAGGGGCGGGGGCAGGCTCGTGAAGGGAATGGAAGGCGTTGAGAACGCGGCCAGGACGGAGTGTGGGGGGAACTCCGGGAGGACGCAGCCCTGAGACCTCGGGGGCCCGTTTTCCATGAGCTCGAGCTGTCCTTTCGGGAGAGAAGCTGGGATTCTCTCTCCGCCTTGGGGTGGCATTGCTCCTCGCTGCTCCTGTGAGCCCTGCGCCTTGATGGACTTGAAGGGCGCAGGAGCTCAGAGGGAAGACAGAGGGCTCCCCTTCTTCAGCCCTTCAGCCCCCCGTCTGGCCCCAGAGCCCCGGTCCCAGGTGTTTGGGATTGAGGACGGGAGCCATGGAGTGAGACCAGTTCCTGCTGGGGCTCCGTCCGGGTTGGCCCGGTGGCTGTTTAAAGCCGGGGCAGGGGTCGAGGGGGGGCGGTAGGGGACGTGCCAGCCCGCTGAAAGCCATGCCTTTTTCTTCTCGAGGGGCCTCCCTGGAGCCCTCTCTGTGCCCGAAGCTCTGCCTTGAACAGGGAGAGGATGACCCGCCCGGACCCAGCAGGTGCCTGCCAGCAAAGGCAGTGCCCGACGCGGGCTTCCGATGTACCCATTATCGCTAGCTTGGCAGGTTGTCTTAAAGAGATCAGCCCTCCTACCTGGGTCTTCTTCATGTCCTGCCCGAGGGCATTTGGCTTCCCTTCTCCTTTCCCGTGCACACCCCCACCGTCACCCCCCTTCCCAGGACCCTCGGGGAGGACAGCTGCTGGGGACAGCTCAGTCTCTGCCAGGGGAGCAGGGTTGGGGAGGTGGCAGGAGGAGGAAACCCTTCCTCCCCACCCCCACTCCCTCAATCTACAGCGGACACATACCTTTCTGATTAAGTTCCTAGCTTTGGCAGCAGACCAGGCCCAGCTGTTAAAGGAACGCCCCAGGCCTGTGAGGGGCCCGTGGTGACCCCATTGACAACAGCTCAGTTTGACCAGAGCTTCCGACGAGGGGTGAACCATCCATGGTAATATGGAGGTCCCCGTCCTGGACCCCACCCCATCTTGGATAGGGGAGCTAATCCACTCTGAAAGCCTAAAAGCCGTTCTGCTTGGAAGTACCCATGCCAGCTTTCAATGCACCGTCTGGGGCTGGCTGGGCTATTAATAGCTCTGAGTATTTTGAGATCCCTCTCCCCATCTTAAAGAGCACAGAGATTCTTAGAGAGGCGGCAGTAAGCAGAGCAGAGCCGGAGGTACCAGAGAACCCATCAGCCTGGGAAGGGGGCTTGGAGCCTGTGCCAGGCCACGGAGAGGGTGGAGCCTCCGTGAGTAGGGGGTGATCATGCTGAGCCCTGGATCAGCAGGTTCTGAGCTGGCGGTCAGGTTGGAGTGGCCCCACCCTTTGCTTTTGGAGAACACGGGGCCAGGGCTAGCTCCTTGACCTCAGCAGCTCCTCTGGGGCAGGGCCAGCCACCTGAGCTGTGGAGGGGTGGTGTGGGTCGAACACCTGGGTGACACTTGGAGGCAAGGGCTGGTCCTGGGCAGAGTCCTGGTGAGCCAGGCAAAGGCCTTTGTGGCCCTAATTTGTGTGCAGGTAGCAGAGGCAGCAGGCCGTGCCGGGGGGGCATGTTGCTGTAACCAGTGGCCCAGGGGATGTTACGGTGGACAGTGCACCTGGAGGGCGGGCCCCGCAGGGTGAACCATGCTGCAGTGGCTGTTGGGCACCGGGTATTCTCCTTCGGGGGCTACTGCTCTGGTGAAGACTACGAGACACTGCGTCAGATTGATGTGCACATTTTCAATGCAGGTAAGCTAGTCCTGGGGACATCCTGGGCGCCCACATTAGGGAGGGAAACAGGCGGTTGAATGAGTTTTGGTGGTGGTTGCCGTGGCCCAAGGGGGTGAAGGAATGAAGATCTGGTTTGGGAAAAGGTGGACAGCCTGGAAGGAGGGTTGCAGGGCTGAGCTGAGCTATGCCCACAGTGTCCTTGCGCTGGACAAAGCTGCCCCCGGTGAGACCCACCATCCGAGGGCAGCCTCCTGTGGTACCATACATGCGGTATGGACACTCAACCGTCCTCATCGATGACACGGTCTTCCTTTGGGGCGGGCGGAATGACACGGAAGGGGCCTGCAATGTGCTCTACGCCTTTGACGTCAGTGAGTATGGAGCTCTGTTCTTCCAAATGGTCCCTCACGGGCTGGGGAGATGTCGGCTGGGCTGGGAATAGGGCAACTCAGGAGGGTCAGAGCTGCTTAACTGGCCCATCCTCTCATCTCCTTCAGATACGCACAAGTGGTCCACACCCCGAGTGTTAGGAACAATTCCTGGGGCTCGGGACGGACATTCGGCTTGTGTCTTGGGCAAGACCATGTACATTTTCGGGGGCTACGAGCAACTGGTAGGTCTGGAAAGCAAGTAGAGGTTTGGGGTGGGAATGAGATAGAGGAAGGGGAATTGAAGATGCTGGAATGGGAGGCTTTGGCTTGTTTTGCAGGGCTTTTTGTTGTTGTTAATCCTCACCTGAGGATATTTTTCCATTGATTTTTAGAGTAGAAGTGAGGGGGAGAGACCAAGAGAAACATTGATGTGAGAGACACATCGATTGGTTGCCTCCAGCATGTGCCCCAACCAGGGCTGGGGGTCAAGCCTGCAACTGAGGTATGTGCCCTTGACCAGAATTGCACCTGGGACCCTTTAGTCCAAAGGCCGGAGCTCTATCCACTGAGCCAAACCAGCTGGGGCTGTTTTGCAGGTTTTTGAGGGGAGGAATGGAGGTCAGAGACTGCTGACCCAATCTTATATTCCTTCCTTCACTTCCTTTCTCTTCCCACTCAGGCGGACTGCTTTTCCAATGACATTCACAAGCTGGATACCAGCACCATGACATGGACCCTTATCTGTACAAAGGTCTGCCCTTTCTTCTTTCTCCCAGACCCCCACCCTCAATTGAAGAAACCATAGGAAGTTCGATAGTGAGAGCAGATCCTTTCCCAGCCTTCTTGCTCACCTCATCTCTCTGCTCCTGCCCAGGGCAATCCTGCGCGCTGGAGGGACTTCCACTCAGCCACAATGCTGGGCAGTCGCATGTATGTCTTTGGGGGTCGCGCTGACCGATTTGGGCCGTTCCATTCCAACAATGAGATTTACTGCAACCGCATCCGAGTCTTTGACACCAGGACGGAGGCCTGGCTGGACTGTCCAACCACTCCGGTGCTGCCCGAGGGGCGCCGGAGCCACTCAGCCTGTGAGTGTCTGTTCCGTCCCTGCAGAGTCCCCCTTCCCACCCATTGTCTTCACACTCTTGACATTCCTCTCTCCTTCCAGTTGGCTACAATGGGGAGCTGTACATTTTTGGTGGCTATAATGCAAGGCTGAACCGGCACTTCCATGACCTGTGGAAATTTAACCCTGGTAAAGAACACTGCCTCTAAGGAAGAAACAAGGAGCACTTGAGGGGGGAAGGAAAGAAAGAAAGAATCCTGAGTAGGCGAGAGGTTGAGGTTGGAGAGGATATCTGGCCAGGGCAGGCAGTGAATCTCCATGTAAACTTCTCTTTAGTGTCCTTTACCTGGAAAAAGATTGAACCGAAGGGAAAGGGGCCATGTCCACGCCGGCGCCAGTGCTGCTGTATTGTTGGTGACAAAATTGTCCTCTTTGGGGGTACCAGGTTAGTAGGAGAGGGGAGGGCTCGGGGAAGGCCTAAGTCTGTGACTAAACTGGGAGGCATTTGAGCAAGAAGGGTCTCATGAGCATTCTTTCCTCCTCCCTTTCTCTCTCTCTCGATCTCTACAGTCCATCTCCTGAGGAAGGCCTGGGAGATGAGTTTGACCTCATAGATCATTCTGACTTACACATTTTGGACTTTAGTAAGTACACTTATTCCCAAAGTGCTCCTGCCATCGGGGTCCCTGTCTCTGGATGGTGACATCCAGGACGGAATCTTTCCTTGGCTGTGACTGTCCCCCTGTCTCCCATTCTCCCTCTGAAGGCCCTAGTCTGAAGACCCTGTGCAAACTGGCTGTCATTCAGTATAACCTGGACCAGTCCTGTTTGCCCCATGACATCAGGTACAGTGAGTGGCTGGGAAGGAGGGATTGGTTGAGGGTAAGTGGCAGCACATGACCTCAAATGGAGGAGATAGAATTCTTGTGGAGAATGAGATGGAAGGAGATACAGACTGTCCACTGGGTAAATTACATGAAAAAAACAATTGTTTTTCAAACAAAGCTCAGGAGTATCACTTCCTGAGATCTGAGCCTACACGGTTGTTTTGTTAACATGCTGAAAAAGTTTGATGAAATCTTAGAACTTAGCTGCAAAGTAAAGACAAGTTTAGGAGCCTCTGAATCACCTTAGTTCTGGAATTAAGGGAGGTTCTTCCTAGCTCCTTCCCTTTTAGTTTCACTCTTAGGTCTAAGTCAGGTACCAAAAGTACTTTGTGTATAATTATGCCCTTTTGGGTCATTCTTCGACACATACTTTTCCTTGTTATCAGTTCAGTTTAACTCTTACTTGCTGGGGGTCTATGTCAGTGATGGCGAACCTATGACACGCTGTCAGAGGTGACACGCGAACTCATTTTTTGGTTGATTTTTCTTTGTTAAATGGCATTTAAATATATAAAATAAATATCAAAAATATAAATCTTTGTTTTACTATGGTTGCAAATATCAAAAAATTTCTATATGTGACACGGCACCAGAGTTAAGTTAGGGTTTTTCAAAATGCTGACACGCCGAGCTCAAAAGGTTCGCCATCACTGCTCTATGTAATCAGTATTCAGTGACACGGTATATACAAGGCTGACCTGGTGGGTCATAGGTTGGCCTAGGAGTGACATATATGCAGGTACCTGTTGTGGCAGAATGCACGGGAGAACGATCAGCCAGCACTCTGAGGGAGGAAGGTTTAACCTTTATTTCGCAGATCTGCTAGTCCAGGGGAATTCTGGATCCAAATCCTGAATTGAATTCATGGGGAGGCTCTGACTGATATATCTCCCCCTGTGGTGGGCCCCTGAGGGTCCCTGCAGCTCCGCCCGTCAGTCAGAGTGGGAAAGTAAGACTACAGTTTTAACCAGAGACTGAACTAGGTTGTTAACCAGAGACCGAACTAGGTGGCAAGCCCCACCATTTTCCTTTTCATACCTAAGTCAAGTAGACTATAGTGAGTAGTGGAATTAAGGAGGTTATTGGTAAATCTTTGTAGAATGACAGAATGGTCAAAAAGAGGGATTTAATTTTAATATGATGGCATGTGTGGGGAAGACCTGGGGTGGGAGGGTAGGAGAGCCGAAGCAGGCTTCTTTCTGAAAGGGATAGTAGTTGAGAGCAAAAATGGGCATTCCTGATGTGGGGTAGGAGGAGCTGCCTGGTTGGATCTGAGCAGAGGAGAGATAGGTTGGGAAATTTACTGCAATGTATACACCCATGCTTTTCTCCAGGTGTTGGGCAAAAGAATATATAAACATAAACAGGAAGTCCTTCTGAGCTTGCAGGTGGAGCTGTGGGTGGTATTGGATTGGTGGTGGGCGGGGCCTGATTGTTAATCTAGGAGGGCTGTAAGGAAGAGGTGGCTGTGGGTAGTTAAGGTTTCAGGGAAGTTGAAGGCACTGGTGTGTTCATAGTTTTGTTAGCAATTCTGGGCTTGGGGGGAGCCTCCTCCTCCTGTCCTTTATACCTGTCACTGGTTGGCCTTCCAGGTGGGAGCTGAATGCCATGACCACCAACAGCAATATCAGTCGCCCCATCGTCTCCTCCCATGGGTAGAAGGAAGTTTTTGCCGCCATCCCTCCTGAGCCTGCTGTAGTCTTCACTTCCCCTGCCTGTCTCACCCGCCTGCCCCTTTGGACCCTGGTATACCTCCACATGGAGTTGTTGGACTAGAGGTGTTTTTTGTGCTGTGAACTCAGTGGGGAGCTGTGGGGGGAGGGCTAGGTTCCCCCCCTCCTTGGGCCGAGGGCCCCTTCCCTTGGTGCTCTGTCCCATCCACCTTCTTCCAACTGCTCCTGGACTCTGCTCTGTCCCAGGCCAGCGGGGCTCTGAGAAGTGAAGGGAATGGGGAGAATGGAGAAGGGAGAAGCAAGCCGTGTCTGGTCCTCAGAAGCTCCCCTCCCGCTCTGTTTCACCCCCGCCCCCGCTTGAGCCATGAGCATTGATTGGGAGCGAGAGAAGTTCGCCCCCTGAATGGGCATGAAACCTCCTTCGCC